GTGTCATTTTTATTCTTGGTTTGCCCGTTTACACTGGATATTTGGTGGGAAAATGGTCTCTTGTTGTAACTCTGCTTGAAGCATCTTTGCTTTTTCGTTTTTTCTTTCATTCTCCTTCTGTCATCTTCATTAAAATCAGTTTCTGAGCAGTTTTCCTTCAGTTCACATTCTGGCTTAATCTGCTTCATAACTGATTCAGCATTCATCTTCTTCAGGTCTATGAGGGGCAAATGTTATGTAATATTGGATCTGCTAATGGATCTCAGCTTACTTCATAAATGGTGTCAATGCTGCCAACTGTCTTGAAGCGGCTTTAGAATCTTATTAAAAACATGAACAATCTAGATCACCGACTGTTTCAAGAATCAAAGTTAAAAATATTTATTCTAGGTATCGTTTTATGCTTACCTGGAAGCCTAAAGTTTTTACTTCTGGCTATTTTCTTCTTGCTACTGTTTTGTTGATTCATCTTTCTTTTCCCCCCTTGTTTTCCTTTCCCTTTCCCCGTCTCGTTCATCCAGTCAGATTCAGATGCACTGGCCCAATCCTGCTTTGAATCTGTAAATAATTCTCCATCCATCTCCTATGGCACGATAAGCATTTATTCAATTATTGTTTGTGCTCTTTGTATTGTAAAAGTATAATGTTGCAAATATAATCACTTGAACTGTGAATATGTGAGAGTGAGCCTAAATGGATTACACATATGAAAACAAAATACATATCATTAATTATTTTGAATATATACAGTTCAGGTAAATTCATGCAGATCTTCTATTATATTGATTATATGCAGATGCCTTTGATAAACATTCACTGTCATAAACATCTAAATAAATAGATAAAACTAGGACTATGCATAGATTAAAACAACTTACTGTTAAAATACAGTTAAAATAATTAAAATGGGATTTCATAAGTAACAGCAATGTTCTTCAGGGTTCCCACTCTTATCCAGTAATTTTGTGATTTACACTTTTAGTATATACATGCAGAATTTCTAAGACCATGAGAACTCTGGGTTTTAAAGAAAAAAAAACATTAGTCCATTTTCAGGCCTTTGATGCACCTTTGGAGGATCTCCAGGCGCGTTTTAAAAAATGTAACAACTTTTAACTAGAGCGCAGCGTTTTGACGCTGTAAACGACGACGCGTCGACGTTCCTGTAGCACGTGTTTACATAATAGAAAAACAACCGAAATGCAGTGGAACAATGGAAAAAAGATTCGAAACATGTAGGTAGCCTAGATATTTGTCCTCTCAGGACGCTTCTGTAGTTGCATTCTGTTTCAAAAACAGCACTACAAGCTTCAAACAATACTAAAAAAGATCTCAGGCCAGTCAGCGTCACTGGAAAACAGGTTGTCTTGAAATAAACACATTCAAATACTACTCGTTAACAGCAATAAGCATTAGCACTTGGTAGTTACCTCAAACTCTTCGGATACAGCGGCGTATTCTGAATTATCGTCCGACTGCAAGTAAAGAGAAAGTGGGCGGAGAAGCACGAGAAGGGAGGCGTGCATGACTGAAAAGGATGCGCGGGATATTTTCGCTTCAGCTGGTATTTGAATCATCCTTCATGTTTTAAGTGATTCAAACACACTAAAGTTTCATTGCATGTTTTTTTCTATTTATGCATTGTGTCCCAGTAAAAGAGTCGGGATAGTTCACCCAAAAAGAAAAGTATGTTATCATTTACTCACCCTTCAGTTGTTTCAAACCTGTGAATTTGTTCCCTTTCGATACTACACTGTACTGCGTCTGCTAGATGCATATGGGAAAAAAGCCTTTTTATTCAGGCAGTGAAACTGCACGGCCATTGGTTGTGTATTAAAAAAGAACCAATGGCTATGGCGCCTATGGCGACGAAGCCCGCCAAAGCCAGCCAGAGCCCGC